CTGAGGAGGGGAATCAGTCACGTGGGGAGGAAGCGGCCCAGCAACAATTTTTTATGACAGTGAACCTAATTATCGCGTAATTATCAAGCCAACATCCAATACGGATGACGAAATCGCGGCAATTAATGACTCAGAAGCTGACTGTCAAGCCATCATCGCATCGATCAGGACCCCCCGAGCGATGATCACGCATGCTGCTAATTGTAGTGCGCATGCGGTTGCGTGGCCGCTACGGACTCTAAATACTGCGTAACTTTTGCATTTATGACCTTATTCTGCGGTTTTCTCTGATGAATAGTTCAAGACAGAATCCGAAACGTAAGGTAAATCAACTTTTAGTTCCAACGATCTTATCTTCTACTTCTGAACTGCTTCCTGGAACTTGCCTGTTTGCTTCTATCTGCATTGCACTCAGCGTTGAACATCCTTCTTCAGCTTTCCAGAATTCCATCCCTCAATCAAGTCCAACTGCAGCGCTTCGGTCGATCAAAAACCTAGTTGAATGGTGTTTTTGCTGAGCACCAATTTGGGGGCGGCTTCGTGGAGTTCCGTGATATAAAGATGGAGGTTCTAAACAACCTATCCCTCATAAGTTTAGCCGGTCGAATAACAACAAAAAGTGATGCGCCCTTAAGGTAAGCATTTTGTTGCCGATAGCATTTCGGTTGATGTTTTAGTAGGGGGATGATGGACAGTAAAGAGTTCGGCTAAAAGCCCGTGTGTGCACCAGTCTACGCGTAAAGGACACATAGGATGAATGACGGTACAGAAAAAGTTGAGAGCAGACAGAGTGCAGTCAGACCGGTTTCCACGGCAAAAAAGTTTAAAGACGACGCAACTCGCCACTTCCCCTCGTAGCCTCGGCGTATTTCGACAACTCAACCCAACCATTCGGTGGTTCTAATACAAAACAACGTTTGATGGTCACGCGGACTAGCAAAACGGACAATACACTTAATTGGATCGCAGACGGTTCCGATTGGTGTTTCAATATCTACTACTGCGGGGGCGTGGTTCTCTGCTGGGTGTTTGCCTATTTTATGTGCTCGGCGGTGTACAAGACAGCAGTGCAACAGCAGCAGAACACCAGTTCAAACTGCTATGCCACAAGTGCTTGGCTACCAGTGAACGGGGTGTGACTACTTCTAGTGCAAATGTTTCCCTTGACTTGGCGGCATGATTGGCACTTTATTGGGTGAGAAGAAGATATTTGCGCTGCGACAAGAGTTATATTTGCCTGAAGTTTCTAAATCCGTCGCTGATGCTTCACCAGAGGCGTTAGCAGACCCGTTTCTGCTACTTTATTGGGTCTTATCTGCATCGTCCAGTCAGCTACAACTGGTCTTATTAGAAGTTCAGAGAGAGAACAGAAGATAAGGTGATATGTAAGAGTGGGCAAGTGCGCAGTGTGTCCATCCTCGTCGTCATTATCATAACCTAGGGTAGCAGCAGCGATACCACCCATCTTTGGTTAAGGTGATAACCGAGACTCTTAATATACGCAACGGATAGAAATAGGAAGACAAGAACATTGCGTGACCAAGTGCTGAAAACGGTAGGGTCGGATGCAATAAACTTGATTGCAGGCCGGAGGGCCGGTCACTCAACGCCTCTTGTCAGTCAAGAGCCCCAACGCCTAGTTATGTTGCAGTCTAGTGCTATGGGAGACAGAGCCTTGCCATCAGAACCTGTGCTAAAAGAGGGTGCTGTGGATTAGAGCAAGCAGGGACGAACTGCCTGTGCGTGGT